TCCAGTTTTCTGAAAAACAGACTCTGCATCTCCATTAGAGAACTTCACACCACTAGGTCTACATCATTCATTGACACTAGCACGAACACCTACTATAAATGAGCTGCACTGTTGTGTGTGTTGACATTTTACACTAGTAATTACAGTGATTTGAGCACATCGGTACAACTTTTCCTTGATACACTGTGCACGTAGAAGCATCAAGGGGTTGCTGTGGTATGAAAATATCAATAAAGGGGTGCAACCATTTATGTAACTACATTGCACCAGTGCATGGAGGCCAGGGTTTGCATACATCAGAACAATTTTCTCTAAGATTTTATGGAACTTAATGCTTTTAACTTGTTTGGTGATCCAGAAAGAGAGGTGCTAAAGAACAAGAAGATATTTTACTTAAGATGCTTATGCCAACTCTTTTGTCAACTCCTCTAAGGCTCATAGTGAAACAATGTCCTAGAAGATCAATACACTTATGAATGACAAACACCATTTAATAATTTAACAATTAAAAGGGCAGAAACATGTACCTTAAAAAACAAAGAGAGATTCTTGGAGCCCCTTGTTCCACTCAGTTTGCGCATGTGCTTATAAATAACTAGCTTTTTCATGCTTTATTGCAAGCACAGAGTTGAAATCAAGGTCTGTTTTTAGGAAGGTATATAGAATTGTACCTGTCATCAGCATTACGGAGAGATGGAAGGCGGAAGCTTGTATTCCTGTCCAGCTTTGACTGGCTCTTTGTCCTCTTGATGGAGCCTTTCAGACGTTTACTAAAGAAGCCCTAAAATGACAAGGCATAGGAAGTGAAACTGCCATTCTTATGCAAGCAATGACTAAATCTTTAAGGCTGTCACTGAACCTAAACGAAGTGGTGACTATCATAGTCAGTGATCATGGAATTTTCTATAGGAGGACTCTTTTTATACATAAAATGCAGAATACATTTAACAACATCTTTGCTATGTAACAGATTCAAATGGTAATTTAATGTCATTCATGTTACAGGCGAATTTCACTAAAGTCTCATTACTGCATAAGACTGTCACTAAGGATTATTCTTGAATTAGTGTCAACTCCTCTTCACAGAACTGCCCCAAGGCTTTTAATATTTTTTTTGGCCACCTTCAAAACCAGCAGGGGAAAATTTACCAATTTATGAAATTCTACTACACTTGCATTCAGATAGCACTTGCCAGATTATATACAGCTAAAATTTGACAAGAACAAACAGTGTCATAAAATTCACATCATTTGGGACCAAAATCTAAAGCATTAATGAGTCCAAACATTACTCTTGATTAAGGGTTGGAGTTGGGATCCAGCTGAATCTCACAGCATCGTCAATCTCTTTCTCTAAATCAAAAATGTCTCTTTAGTAACAAAATAAACCTATCAGAATGTAATTATGGTAAAACAAAAGTTATATGGCAATAGGAGTTCTAGTACCAAGACAAGTAACCTGACATTTCAAAGTTTCTACTGCATAACAGAAGTCATTTCAAGATAATCACGTTAGAACTACTTTATGAGAGCATGGGGAGAGCTGCACCTACCCATAGTTTTCTACAAACTGCTAAATCAGTGGTCACCAACCAATGGAGCTCGATCCACCAGTAGATCTTGGAGCCTCTTGCAGTAGATCTCAAAGCCTCGTGGAGTAGATCCAAGGCTGGGGTGGGGGAGTTGAGTGCCTGCAGGCATGCATGCATGTGCCCCATGCCCAGCAGGCCAGTCCATGGGGGAAGAAAGGAACAGAGGCTAGATCGAGGCACCTACGGTGAAGGACAGTGCTGCAGAGATAGGATCAGGGATAAGTTGAGTGGGGCCTTGGCCGGGTGGGACTTACCTGCTGGGGAGGCACGCCCCCTAATAATTTTTTCTCCCTTTGCCTCAGTCTGCCCCACCTCTTCCCTCCCCACAGACTTACCTACTGGGAGGGGGGGTAGGGAGGGTGGCAGCAGAGCACGGTAGATATTGAATTGCTTTTAAATGACAAAGGTGATCTGCTACTTAAAAAGGTTGGAGACCACTGTGCTAAATGTTTGCTTATCTAATCTTACATCCTTAGTTCTTTAAGCCCCACAATGCCAAACTGCAAACATTTAGGCCCCCCTTCCACATGTACAGCAGGAGGTGCAATTGTGAGATCATGCCCTATCGATGGTGGAGGGGGAGCCTGGGATCACTATCTCAGGCTCCCCCTGCACTGGCTCCTGTGCCAACGAGCTCTGCAGCTGATGGGGCAAGCTTGGCAGGGTTTTCCTTGCTGCCCTACTGTGAGCCTCGCAGCCCACATGTGCTGCGGCGCTCGCAATAGGGGTAGCACCAGGATTGCTGCCTCTGCTGCGAGCATCATCAGCTGCAGGACTTCCACTGGGGGCTGCGGGGCTCACAGTGGGAAGAACTCTGCCCCCGCCGAGAGCCTCCAGAGGTGTGGGGCTTGCAGTAGTAGCAGCAGCATTCCCTCACCCTGCCCTCGCTATGAGCCCTGCACCTCACGACACTCACAGTGTGGCAGTATTCTCACCATGGGAGTCAAGCCATCAGGATTGTGATCCCAGGCTCCCCTGCACTAGCGATAACGCGCAATCCCACAATCACGCCTCCTGCAATGCATGTGTATATATTCCAAGGATAAGGCTCTGAGAAGGAAAGTTTTTGTGAGTGGCCTGAGGGGAACGCTGCCATGGCTGTGAGTCTTGCAGTGGTGCCGGTGTCCCTCCCACGGCCTCTGCTGCCAGCTGAAGACACTTGCCCCCACTGTGAAGCCTACAGTTGAGGCAGCATTCTCCCTGGCAGGTCCCACAGCTGACAACACTGCCACCATTGCAAGCCTTGTCAGCTGTGGGGCTGGCAGCAGATGGTGCACCCCTCTGGCTGGGAGCCCCTCAGTTGATGGGGCTCTCAACCACAAGGGAGCACTTGGCCACATATTCAATTAAATGGCACAATTAGAACAAGCTACAAAGTTATTATGCATTTTCTGGGGAATGACTTTGTAACATATTGGTGGTTTTATCATGCCATTCATTGGTTGAGCGTGTGGCTGGGTCACAATTTAAGACATGACTACCTGGTTTATCATGCTTTAAATGTAATATATGTGTATGTGGGCGGGGGGGAGGCTTAAAAACCACTCTCTCTCTCTTGCTGGGTACAGTCAAAGCAAATGTAGAAGTCCCTAATCCAATTGAATTAAGCAACATTTTATTGCTTGAACAATCTCTTCTCCTTGATGGAAGTCATACAGAGAAATGTCATCCCATTCTTCTACAGCAGTTATGAGGTGTATCAAACACCCTTAAGTGAAACTGTTTTTGTTGGCAGAAAAACAGTGTGGTAAAAGGAATGTGCCAGACTTAATAGACTATTTCAACACAGAGTCAATGAAACTTAACTTACAAAAATGTCAAACGCAGCCCCACCCTCACTTACAATGAATATGGTTTCTTTTTTTTTCTTTTTTTTTTTTATTATTGTGGTCTGGATGAACATATTTCTACATTAGTTCTAGTAAAGCACAGTTAATACCCAACTGTACCCAGCCCCTTATTCTATCAGATATCAACCATGCTTTACTCTGCAGCCCACACTGGCGAGGCACTGTTCTTGAGCTGAATGAGGGAAGAAGTGAAGCCACCCTTCACAGATACTGCCAGAGCTGATTTTTCCAGTGCAAAGATAAGCCTTCCAGAGTCAGCAAATCTGAAAGGAACAGGGTCTTCTATACGCTCTCAACAGAACACTGCCAAAGCAAATGTTTTACAGTCTTTGGCTGACTCAGCTGGAGTAACACACCTGGTTAGCTCAGTTTATGAAGCCATAAACATTAGATCACTGCATCAGAAGAACAGCTTATTTTCAGGCCTCCAGTCTGAGCCATCTAACGTACCTTTTGAATTTTGAGCAAGAAAGTGAGCCTAATGTATAATATCCAAAGGAAGGACTATTACCTTACTCTGAGAGGGTGAGCGAGGGAGGGAGTTTGTTTTGCTAGAAAACAAATACATCTGCCTCTATTTTTACCCTTCTCATCCCTTATATATTTAGAAATCTCTTTCTTCCTCACCTAATTTCTCTTACAACACTCTCACCACCTCCTCATCCTCTCACTCCAGTTTCTAACTCAACCTGGTTATTCTTTTCCCTCCTTTTCTTAACTCTTCCTAGCATGGAGGATGACAAGGACCACGATGAATTTTCAGATGTGTATAAGTGTTTCTGAGGCTGAGTGGTTCACACACTGCTAAAACCTAAAGAGAGCTCCTACGTCTCACCAGCCACCTACTCATTAACTCTTCAGTGAGGACAGGAAGACAGTCAACCCCCTCAGCCGTATTCAAACTCTGATGACTGTGTAAGTGGGCTGCACATATTAAAAACCTCTCATCTGTTCCAAAACTGACTACAGAATCTTCCTACTGTAAAGACACATTGACTCCTTTCCCCAATTACTAGCAGCTAAAACTTGTTTCTAATGTTTCTGCTTGAGAAGTCCCTGCAGAGGCCCTTGCACGACTCTTGAGATGATCCTGGGGAATTTTTACTAACAATAGGGTGGTAACTGCATTGGTATAAGTCTGTTCCCTTTAACTGCTTAAGCTCTGCTTGAAGTTGGCTGCCTTCCCTCCAGGATAGGAGGGTGATGACAATGACCTTTCAAAGACAGCACCCTACCAAGTTGGTAAATGAGGGACAAACAGCCACCTGAGTGCTCCATGCTGAACTAACACACAAAAGCTGCCCTATCCCCAAAACCATAAAAAAGGCTGTGAACCCACATTATAAACATGTGTGCGCATATAGTCAAATAGGAGAAGGTGGAAGTTGTCAAAAGGGAAGTGGTATTTGTAACTGTGCAAGTCACTTAAACTTTATCCAGGTCCCTGGACTTTTGGTTCAGGTTTTGACGAAGTACCTTTGAAAAATGTAGAATCAATAGATGCTCTTGGGCTTCTCTTGGGGCCAGTGTTAGAATTCAACTAAAAAATTTAAGGCATTTTCAAAGGCACTTTCATTTAGTTTGACCTCCCCACTTGAAAGATAATAAGACCAGCTACTGGGATTTAGCTTTGGTGGACCTTGGCTTTTTGCCAACACTTCTCAGTGAAGTGCAGATGCCATGAAACTGAACAGGTCGGTTCTCTTAACAACAAATTAGGCAAGAATCAGGATGGGGCCCAAAAAACTATTTTTAAGTGGGTGAACATGCATCCCTACTAGTGATGGACCTTGAATGTTCACTTGTCCTAATGTTTATTCTAATCATTCTTCCTGTTGCATTTTACATTTTAAGGAACACTGGACTTTTCTTTTTACTGTGCAAATTGTATTCTTTGGTACAAAACATCAACTGTCTCTAACAGCATTCAAAAGCTGAACATATGCACTAGGGACAGAAGTTATACATAAAACAGTATAAGTGATCAGAAACCACTTTAAACCTGTAACAGAGCAGAAGTTCAGCACACATAATTTGGTTTCAAAATGGCCATACTCAGTTTAAGATGAACCTGGCTGGATGTATTATCAGACTTAAGTGATTTAAGTTAAACCAGTCTATGGAACTCCTGTCCCAGATCCCCTCCTGACTCAAGTTATGTCATGTCCCAGTTCCCCAGCATCCTAGAATGCGTTGGAGTTCCCCTGCTAACTCCCCTCACAGGGCAGGCAGGCTAGCCTTGCCTGTGCTGTCTGTTCTGGATGAGTTGAGGCCAGTTCCACTCCACAGCTGTCATGGAGCTGAGGCAGCAATGCCTCTGCTCCCCAGCCTGGTCCTCC